CCCGTAAGGATTAGCGCCCTAACCGCGCAGTTTTTGCGACGAAGCTGGAGTGATCCAGTTACGCACGGACCAGGGTGAATAACGGTCGAGGAAATCCTCGACAGGGGGTCGTATTTGCTCCGATGAGAGTTGGGAGGGGGTCGTAATCAAAAGGTTCATCAACGGACACAACGGTGCTGCTGCCACTTATTTGCTGTCATCATTAGTTTCACAAGTGTTGTAGTTAGCCTAATGCAAATAATATCTTACAACTGTCTGGAATTAAAATTTAAATGGAAAGTGGTTGTTGGTTTGGTTCGTAGTGATCAGTATGGCATAGGAAGGCAACGCGTCCTGCAAAAGAATCGTAGGGAAAGGGCAGCGAGTATCTACTCTAGAATGATGTACATGCTTCGAGAACTTAGTGGAGGAACAGCATCTTGGTAGAAAGTTCAAAACAGGCAGATTCGCAGCCTTCTTGGCATCATCAGATCCTGCAACCGCAAGCTGTCATTCATCAGAACGGGTTGGAAAGGAAGCGATTTGAATAAAGGAATGATCAGACATCACTATGACCACAAGAGTTATCCTAATTAGTTAATACTGGAAATATCTTTTGGTGTGCTTAAGCAAGTCGTCACTAGGACAAAACACCTTCCCAATGACTCCGAGTGGGGTCACTGCATGGCGCATACAAGAACGGAATGGATCTGCGCCAAGTGCATCATTTTCAATTTACTCCATCGAACTGACGTGTACAGAAGTATTTTGAAGGTGTTCAAAGAAGTTCCCTACTACGGCGAGGGAGTAATAGAGTTTTCGAGTGGCTTCGAAAATTTCCTTGACATTTCCTCGACGCAGATTTCTCGCGAACTAGAAAGCGTTCGAAACAACTGGAGCACCTATCAGAAAGCGTAAATCTTCTACTTTACAACGCTTTCCTCCGATTTTCAAAGCATTGCCAATGAAGACAGCTACTGTCTTCCAAAGAGTGGGAACTCGCATGTAAATTTCAATTTCCTCGACAATTCCTCGACGTCTCCCACTCTCGAGAATAGGCGTGCTTAGAAAAACGCTCAGCACAATTTAGAAACTAGAAGTCTTGTGCATTCAAAAGCTGCCTTCACTTTCTGAAATGGTTATCAATGAAGAAAGTTATAGTCCTTTAAATAGGGGGTACATTTGACGATTTTTCCAACTAGCGCGCTCTAGGCACAGCGCGCGACGCGATCGCGGGTAGTTAGCGCCGCTATACTGGAGCGCGAGACTGTTCAACTGTGTAGGGGCAGTACCTCCTTCAATGTTCTACTTTCCGGCCAATGTGGCAAAGGTTAAATGTCTTTAAAGGAAAGAAGGAGAACCTAATCTGAGCAGAATTGAATCTAGCATTTGGATCAAGCCGCATTTGCGTGGCAGCGGCGCTGCGTCCCTCTCGCACATCTGAAACTAGCATTTTTTGATATGAAACCGGATGTGCAGAGGACAAAAAGGGGTCGTATCAGAGTCCATGTTTTGGAGGGGGGTCGTAAAGAGGCGGTTATTTCCTCGACACGATTTTCACCCTGGCACGGACCTTGCAGTTATCCCTCCTACATACTAGTCGGGTCAATCCCCGGGGTTTCTTTAAAAGCATTGCCGTCCCTTTTGACTTCGCATCTTCAGCCTATCGTGATGTGCGAGGTTAATGCGATCTAAATGGTAGCTCGGAGTGAAATGAAGCAGTAGAGGACTCCCAAAGTTAAAAAACCTGTCTCGAGAGACGCCACACATCTCAGCACTCAGAGTCGAAGAACCAACTGATGAAGGAATGAATGCATTGTTGAGCATATTGTTTTTATTTTGTGTAGTATGGTCCATGCAGGCTCGTGGTGATATCATGCTGTGTACGTACGGGTTGAGGTTTTATAAGAGCATTCGGCCAACGCATCCAGGCAGCGTCGGTGGTGTAGTGGTTAGCGATGTGGATTTCGATTGGCACGCTTGGTCTGGGTTGGTGGTTCGGATCCCCGAGGTCGGGCTTTTTGCATTTTTGTTGGCACTTCAGATTTCTCCAAATAGCACAGGTGCCAAAATGGATGTGTTATTCAAGACCAGAACTATTGATAACCCAGATTAGGTAAGTTTTCACCGAAAGCAGGCAAAAAAAGTTGTACCGTCGAAATTCGCCGGATAGCGGCGGCTCCAAAAAACAATGCCAAATTCGTGACACGAGCAGTGATTTATTGATTTGTCTCATAATTCCTGTCTCATTTCTATTTGAATTCAAATTTTTCTGTCTTAACGTTTAATTGCGAAATAAGTTATTATATCTACCAGTTTAGCTTCCGAGTTCTATCAGAGGCTTCCGTGTCATACCCGCTACCGCGCGCATGACACGGAAGCCTCTGATAAACTGACAATCGGTGAAGCTTTGGGTTTCACCGCTTAACTATAGCTGCTTCGTTAAATGCATTACTGTCCGTTGCCCATCTTGGCTGTATCTCACTGTTTGATAAGCGCAGTGAAGTGCACAGCTAAAGTGATGATGTAAACAACCACTATGCGTCGAGTATCGAGGTAATTTAGCGGTCGAATATCTCAAAACGGAATGCCCAGTATTCATTATCATATTTATTCGAGCATCCCATTCATCCTCAAGAACTCTAGAAGGTGTAGCGGTCGAAAGGTGTTTGAGTTTACAATTACAACGCTAATGAAATGATATTGAAATGAAATGCATTATCTGCAATCTGGTTTCGAGTAATCTCTACGTTCGTACGCATATCGTAATTATCAGTCCTCATCTGTCGTTATCACTTTTTGACCCCCACCAAATATGTTACCGTCCCACCCCCATATCATGTCCCAAAATCAGTTCCTGACGACTGCTGCGAAGCGCACTATGAATTTTGTGAAAATTGTGTTTCAGCGCCTCTTAATTGCTCAGTCGGACCAGACCCACGACCTCTTGTCGGTAAGCGAGTACCACTGTCGTTACACTATTTTGCTTCACAGCTCCGTCCAAAGATCCGACTGGCAGATTCGGAAAGCAGATTCCATATAAATATAAAGGATAAAGCATTTGCCGTTGATCAATCCCTTTTGGGATGCGGCACGCATTCTACTTCCATTTGTACATTCGTAGTGGCGTTTGAATGCGATGTGGCCTATACAATGACTTGCGGGGGCCAGCCGATGTACAAGTCAGTGTTTTTATCCTCCCAGACAAGTCTGGTACCAATTAACCGACCCCGGAGGGATGGAAGGCTTGGTTGGCCCGGGCGACTCACGACCCAGGATTTGATCCCCGGACCGCTCGCGTGGTAAGCGTGCCACTTGCCACTACACCACTTCCTCCCCAAGCGCTCTACTGGTAGCCTTTCATTCTCAGTAGATGAGACAAGTCGGAAGACCCTCCACATCACGTTACCCTAGTCTGATACTGAATTTGAGTGTCGATGAAGATAATAATGATGCCAAAGATCCCAACAAACACATAGCGCCGTATACTATCCTCCCCCAAGGGTTAGGGGACGAAAATCCCTTTAAATTTTCTGTCTTCCCAACTGGGATTGCCCTGATAAAGGGCCTACATTTAATGTATGTATGTAGGTAAAAGTAAACATGCACTGAAAATGAAGAAACTATATCGTTCAAAACAAATAAATTTAAAGGAAACTTTGGATCACCTAGCTTCGGGGAAGGATAGCATACGGCCCATAGTGGAGGAAAGAATTAAGTTTTCATGATGTAGGCGATGTGCTAAAGTTATATCCAAGTGAAGTTTTCGTGAGTTGACCGGTGATTGTGCCACATATGACCGAAAACATTTTTGGGAGAAGTCCTTGAAAATGAAAAAATGAAATGCTGGCGAAGAATTTGTGTCCTCCATGAATTTAAAGGCATGCCCCAGGATCACATTGGTGTGGCTCTTGCACACGAATGCGAATGTATTGGTGCGAAATGGGCCGGCAGTAAAGAAAAAAGGAAAAGAATCCGTCGAAAACGCTTAGGTTAAGGGCTCACTCACCTTCCTAATCGGCTGTGCTAAGGGAATGAGAGACTAAGCGCGGAGAGGAGAGTATGAGGCGAGAGAGCGCTACAGATGAGAGAGCGCCAGACAACAGCCTGATAAGAGAAAAAATCTGCAGCTTCAGCAGCTTACTTTGCAAGGCCCAAGCGCTCTTGTCGGTTGGTTTCCGTGCACGGGAACGCCACATTTGTGATTGTCCTCTAGGGGTCTATACTACAGACCGAAGGAAGCGTTCACATGACCTCTGCCTGGGTTGTGCCTTTAAGTTTATCGTTTCACTTCTATTTTTGCTACAATCTCGACCAGAAACTGTGCCAACTCGACGGGAATAACCATTACTTCGAAAACATTTTCTCTAAAAACCAATCAGACATGCAGATTGTATTTAGTTACAACTTTTTTTGAACATTTCATTAGCCCCGCAGCGAAAATTATGTACGTTGGCAGTGTCAGTGCATTTTCACAAGCTTTTTTCTTAGTCTCCATTTTCGCCTTCCTTTCTATGCATTGTGCGAGAGGTCACATGCTCCTTCGATGGATAAATATCATACAGTAGTCAAAATCACTGAAACCACCACATTACGTTATAAAAACCCTTACAATGAATTGACATCTCAAAAGAAAGTCATGACTTATGTTTCAACTACCAAGTTTACCATAGGAAGAGCTGCTCTCCGTCATCTCAGCAAGTTATGCGATATATGGGAGGCTTAGCAACAATTATGGTATTCTTGATCGAAAAAATTGTCAGATTTCATCATTTAATAAAGGGAGTAGTGGTGTCATAGGTGGTGGAGAAGGGTGCATGACTGTCCAGTCCAGGACAGAATCGAAAGTATAAACTAGCGAAGGGAACAGCTGACTGGTCAGCCGTCAGCGCCAATGTTCTGAATCAGGTTAATTGGGATTTCGATGGTCGATTACAGCGCAATCCATTGGGAACACTGACAACAGGGTGACCTGGTTCGTGAGCATTTGTCGACCGCCCGCTCATCCAAACACGGCCGCCATGAACCATCTCCTAGTCGTACATGGCCTCTTATCTTTACTATTATATGTTGAATCGTGCCCTGAAGCCGTTGTTTCTCTATGCAAATGCGAGGATCTGTACAATGGTGTACAACTTGATTGTTCTCACTCTGACGGCAACAAGGTTATACAAGTGTTACGGGACAATCAAGCATTACTCGGTCTTGTACAATCACTGACTATGCACAACGCCGGTTTGCGCCATATTCACTCAAGATTTCTTGATGGCCTTTATATCAAGCGGCTAGATCTCTCGTATAACCAGATGGTAGGAATTGACGGCCATGCATTTACTGGGATGAGCCCAATAGTGCAGGAGTTAATACTTGCCCACAATAACCTCAGCAAGGTACGGAAAATGTTCCTATTTCGATTTAACTCTACTATGATGAATTTTTCAGATACCAGCTGTCGCCATCACCCCTCTTAGCACGATTCTCCGTTTAGATCTCTCGAATAACTCAATAGGTGACATCTCTCACGAGGACGCATTTCCCTCTCTTCCGAAGGTCAGTGCGACCAATTATACTTGAAGAATCATTGAGGTTCGATCGATAAATGCACCATACCCAGCGCGCAGCGTGTTTGCAACCTCATTTCTAGCGCTTGTTTCATCTAGTTTTCCGAAGGTATAAATGTATCGCTGTCGTCGGTGCTAACTGGATTGAATGGCTACACAGCGTATAAAATATGGGATACATCTTGTCCCTGAAGGCGTTGTATTGCTACTCGCGGCAATCTTGTAATTGTACACATCCCTTAACTGAAGTCAGAACTTAAGAGGTAATTACCCGAATATGAGGTGGCCAAAACAAAACTGTCTTACAGCTCTATGACATCAATCTGGGATCAAATAACATTTGCTCGATCCATTCAACAGCTTTTGGAAACGTGAAGGATTCTATTCGTATTATTAATCTCGGCCATAATTGTTTACGCTCAGTGCCATCTTCCTGTAAGTTTTTCTATAGCTATGATGGTATGATCTGTTTTCAATTGAATATGATTTTCTATTTTATTTATTTTTTGTTTTTTTTTTGTTTTTGTTGTTTTGGGATTGTAAATATCCACTTGATTTTGAAAATATCCACTTGACTTCTTTTGAATGATTCTATTTATGCGTTCTGTTTCCCACGGCTGTCCCTGTCGTAACTGCAAGCTCAGTATCACATGACTGCCTACCATTTCAATTTTTTATTATATTTTTAAGAATTGAGGTGCGTTTTCAGGCTCTTGGTACTGTCGTACGTCGCGCTTAGGGTATAGGAATATAAACAAAGTTTTTAAGAATTAAAACTATTTCAAAAATTTTATAGGACTAAACTAATAAATAATTTTCTTCGTAAATCATCACCTATTAATAATATTTTCGAATTGGAGCACAATGAAGGAAAAAAAATATTTAAGAAATCTCATGGGGTCTCATCCAGTAAGGGGGGGGGGCATGTGGTGTGACAGTTCTTGCCGGCTACAGAAATTCCAATTTTTGCAAGGGGAGGGAATCCCCGGGGTGCGTGAACCATTTCGCTCAAGCAGTCACAGCACCCCGGAGCAGGGTCAACCCTACCGTTGGGACTTTTTGAAAATTTTTACGACCCCCCTCCTTCATGAGAGATTTCATACGACCCCTTCACAACTTCTTTTTCCCTCAAAAACACCGTCGAGCGGGGAGGGGTATATAACTACCATGAAACCGCAAAATTTCCTTTACAATTCCCTCTCCCCCCCCCCCCTCCACCAACCCCATTAGTACTTGTCCGAACATAGGGTTGAACTGCCCCGGAGCTTCCCTCCCCTGAAAAAAGTTGATTACTTCAAGCAATATGAATTGTCGCACCACATGCCCCCCTTACTGGATGAGCCTCTACTTAAGAACTACAAATGTATCAGAGGGTGAAGAAGAAGATGTGTTGTAGATTCCGTTTTGCAAGCGCCATAAATCAGCAATTATGACAGCCCTGGTTTTGGGGAAGAGAGTGTAAAAAATGGGAAAAGGGGAAAAAGTGAATTTAGCTGAGAGACCTTTGCTTGGAATTCGATCTAACTTTCAGTAAAGTGAATGAAAGCGTGTTTTCATACTTCATTTATCGCAGAACGATCAATCATTTTTTCAGCAATTCGTGGGCTCAAGCAACTACAAGCTTTACATATGCAGAAGAACAAAATAGCCGTCTTAGAAGCACTGAGCTTTCTAAATCTACCTGTATTAAATTTGCTCAATCTAGCAGGGAACAAAATATCAGAAATTAATCGGCAAGCATTTTTAAATGTTCCTCAGCTGAAGTATCTCTACTTGACGAACAACCAAATCACGCATCTCACTCCACATCAGTTTGCCTCTTTCAATCAGATAGAAATGATAGATCTAACCGGCAACAACATCACTGAAATCCCCGACGAATGCATGGCTCGTCTACAACAGCTGAGACAATTATTCCTCGGTGGAAATCATATTCATACCATCGGGAAAAATGCGTTCGCCAACAGCTCTATTGTCATCTTGAGTTTAATCAACAACGAACTCACAGAAATTAGTGAAGGAATGCTGGATGGTATGCCGAGGCTACAAAGTGTCGTCTTCAAAGGCAACAAGGTGAGTCTCGTCCGCCTTTCTTTTATTTTCAGCACCATTTATCCTTTACTGCCTACCTTCTCAAAAACTGGGACAAATTTGATTCCGAAATTGTCTGTGCCTGTAAATTTAGCTAGAAATTTGTCCCCGGGGGACAGTTGGAAGCGTTATACGAATATCACAATAGTTTATTCTAAAGGAGCTTATGGAGCGTTCACCACACGTTTTCGCGCTGACTTAATGTATTATATTTAATATTCGTATTTATGGGTTCAAACACCCTCAAAGGCAACTTCCTAGCCAGATCCACAGTCATGAACAAAATTCTACAAACAATCCGGCCCAGTTTTGAGGAGTAAGAATTAAAGGATAAAGCGCTTAGATTTCTTTTTCATTTTTATTATATTTGTTTAATACATTTTTAATTATTAGTTACATTTGTTGTGTTTTCATTTATCCTTGCATCGTTTTATTTATGCATGTGATTGAAATATTATTCAAGTTAAAAGCCTGCCTAAACATTTGCTCGACTCACCCCTATTTAATGGCATTGTCGAAGCACTAAAATATTTTCAAATCCCATGAAAATATTCCAATTTCCCAGATATCTATTTGTTCCCACGCTCTCTAAAATATCACCCCTTTACAACTAATACGACCCTCTCTCGAGTCATATGATAACACCCACTTTGCTGTGAGAATTCCACCTCACGGTTGTCCTGGATATAACCTTCTCAAAAATTTGGTTACAAGGCTTCTGTCAACCAAAGGGTGAGAGCGTAGCTGGAAAAGCACACACTTTGTGTCTTATTGGGACTAAGCCTTTTGAAGAAGATAAAGAAAGAGGAGATGCTGTGATAGTGTGCACTTGTGAGAGCTCCCAGACATCACTACAAAACGCTGAACCGCCAAATCTCACGGTTGACAGAAGTCCTGACATCCAAAAATTTGCTTCAATGGTTTCCTATATAGCAGATAAGGTTCTACGGGTAATGGTTCGTGGAATCCACAGTAAGCTTCAAACTGCGAAATTTCGTGACCTCTTGACCTTCTATTGATCTTTTTTATAGTAGATTTTCGAACTGACTGATTATACGAGGATCTTTCCTCGACTTTTACGAACGGATCTCACAAGGGGTAACAAGGCTCGCATTTATTTTGTAACAAGACGTTTCCAATTTTTGTGCAGCTCTGGTTCATCTGACTTTATTTCTGATTAAGCACTGAAAAATGGTCAATTTTATGTCGAAAATTCCTTAAAGAAATCCTTTACGGAAAATTATAATCCTATTTCGGCCATAACTGGCTTGAGACTCATCTACCAGGATAAGAATGAAAAGAACAGAAAAATTGCACGAAAAACCGAAAGGGCTGCTACGCGTTCAAAGTACCGCCGGACATCTGTCACAAATGCTGGCGACGGGGATGCTTCCACTTGGTTCTTGGAGTGCCTTCACTAGAAACTCTTTCTGGCCTTTTGACTTATTGCATTCACATCTGCATCCTATTCTATCGATCGATTTGTCTCTACTCTCCAAAATCGCGCGCTTTAACCCGATTCTTTCATTCGCCTGATACGCCGGCCAAAGGCCGGACTTCTTTCCATGCCTCGCCTTTGGCTCCGCCCGAATTACCTTCGATTGTCCATAGAGTGTAGTTTTTGTACGTTTGTTTCTCTTCGGAAACCGAATCTTCATGCGTGAAACTTTGTGTGCTGTTTCCAGTGATCACAACTGACACATTCATGTTCAGAAAGAATGCAAGAATTTTCCGCGAAGATTCCTTTAAGCCGCTGAGACATAGTGAGTCAGATCAGAGTTTGTACATATGTAGAACATAGACGTCGGTTCAGAGTATCGCTCCAAGCAAGTACTTTTGCGTCATTCCTCATTATCCCTTCACAGAAAAGAAATTTCTTCGGTTGGATCATCAATTTAAAATGATCTCCGATTAGACTCTTTCTACGGGATGTTCTTTGATAGACACAGCGCTGTCATCAGTTGTCATGAGATCCTAAGCGCAGTGTGTCAGTCACCGACCTCCAAAATATCATCTAGGTCGATCGATCAGGGTGACACAGTTTCTCATAAATCCCAACATTCACTGCGGGTGCGTCGCGTAATTGTTCCATCTAGTTATCCCTTTCAAGAACGATCATATATGCGTGCGCACAATGGTGGAAATAACGAAATTTCGCAGGGTTATTGAAAGTCGTATTTGAAAAATCCTATAAAGCTCAGCTTAGTTCAAGGGACGGCATTGCAACAGGACGCATTCAACGGAATTGGAACCTCGATGAATCTTAATGATCTTTGAGAGAAATTCATACCTCACTGATTTGCTTTCTGCGCAAAGAATTGCTTTACCACTACCGCTTCTTCCCTATACAGTATTCAGATTCGGGGTACGGTAGGCGGCATGCCTTTTTGCCACCACCAATAATTATTCTCTCCGCATACTTTGATAGGCTCGGAATCTGTTGAGCTGCAGTGAGATAGATCATGTCTAATGAATTGTTCAAAATGGTTTCGGGTAAAGAATGGCGAGAGTGGCGAATTAACGGCAGGAGGAAGGGAGGGGGGGGGGTTAGTGACCTTTTTGGATCCAATGACAACGTGTTCCTATTACAAACGTTTAGAAAAAGTCATACTCACCTAACATACTCACCTAGTTCAGTATTTGTACAAGCGAACCAGGTTTCGCCATCCGGAGTTCTTTTCAAAAATCTTGCACTAACAGTACTAATATTGCACTAACCAGGGAAGGATGAGGGTCGAAGTGGCCATATGTAAAGAGACCTACACCTGTTGGATGTGTTTTTGGACGCTGATCTCGAATCTGCTTTCCAAATCTGCCAAACGATTTTCCTGAACGGAGTTATGAAGCAAAATAGAGCAGCGGTAGTGGTCCGGCTCACAGGCGAGAGGTCGTAGGATCGATTTCCGGATCGACGGGTTCCATGTGTAGTCATTAGCAACTAGCGCTCTTAGGACTTTCTTGTACACTCTTTGTACGGGTAACTAGAGGCAAGCGTTGATAAAGTGACGCAGTTACGTCTTTTTAATCATGTTGTCGCGTAGGCAAAGGGGAAATCCCTAAGGGAATCGATCCTACGACCTCTCGCCTCTACCAGTGCTCTTTTGTGCTTCATAACTCCGTTCAGGAATCGTTTGGCAGATTTGGAGAGCAGATTCGAGATCAGCGTCCAAAAACACATCCAACAGTTTCAGACTCATTGCATATGGCCACTTCGACTCATCATCTTTTCCTGGAAGGTGCCGTCGCCTGACCATGTCTATCTATTTCTGTTGTATAGTGGATCGGAACATTCATGTGGTTAATTTCGGCTAAGGAGTTTCTGTCGAAAATGGAGTTTGGGGGTCACTCCATTGCTATCTTATCCGTAGTACTAGAGAGCAGTTCTTTGGGCTATCGAACACTACGGATAAGATAATAAGTGAACGACTCATTTCGAGCGTACTTTTGATAGGACCGGACCGGTTCTACATCCACAAATCTGCCCACACCCTACCCAATCTCACCTTGTCATCATCTCTGGAGCTCGCACAATGATTAGGCAAAGTTGCCCGTTCCCCTGGTTCAGTACTTTCTTTGGAAAATTTCAGTCCTTGTGGAAGCACCTCAGGAGTCCTTCCATGCTACATCAATACTTATCAGAAGTACACTTTGAATGATCGAGTTACACGAGCGCTCTCAAGAGAGCGCAGCAGAATTCTGCACCCCTCCCCCCATACCAGAGAGCTCTCATACAGAGAGCGCAACAGAATTCCCCCACCCCCCCCCCCCCCCACAATCCATCTTTGCCGGCATCTTCTTCGAATATTAGCTTATTATTTTGGACGACTTCAGTGTCATTAGAACTGCATTAACAGCCCCCACATTTTGATATATTACACTTTCATATTTATAGTAGTTCGAGGTTTCAACGAGTACGAAAAAACGGCTTCTCCTTTTCGGTGAACTTTTTGGTCACTGCAAACTCTTTGCTTGGGGCTCGAAGCTTTGTAGTCCGATTCTCACGCGGCAGAACGTTTCTGAGCCGTTATGGTCGAAACCGTAGCTTAACCAAAAACTTTACAGGTTTGACGAACTCCATTTATTAGCAGGAAAAAGGTTACAAACTTTTGGTCTAGCCGCCAAGCCGCCTCATCCTCTCTAACGGCGGACATCAAGTCAGGAACCCCTCGAGAAGGTCGGAGCAACGTGAAAAATAAATTCACCGACGGTTTCACCGCATGAGTGGGAAAATCCGCTGCCACACTAGAACGCTAGATAATAGCGCTTTCGAAGAAATTGAACTACCGAGAAACATTTTTTTTCCACGTATTTCAGACTGTCGTTTCGAACAAACTTCTGTAAGATCGGCGGTCTCTTATACACACTTTTTCTTCCAGATATTTTATATTATACTTACTTTATTGGATATTGTTCTAAAGTTGTCTTCATTAAAGGAATCTTCCACGGACCATGGACCAGTGGGCGGGACCGGAAGTTTTTGTGACGAAATGCATGGTAGGTACGGATCCACGTGTCGAACGCACGAACGTGAACAGGATTCACTTCAAACCTTCCCATGAACGTGGATCCGTACCTACCATGCATTTCGTCGCAAAACCACTTCCGGTCCCGCCCACTGGTCCATGGTCCGTGGAAGATTCCTTTAAGCATGCACTAAATGCACTTATATTTCTCAATTTAAGATCAAATTTGTGCACCACAACGCATTCTACAATACTCCGTCAGTGATCAAGATCGACTTGAGCGATAACGAAATTGTCGATCTATCACCATCAACATTTCTTGCGCAGTTGAACTTACAAATGATCGACCTACGGAATAACAAACTTCCTCGAACACCTTATGCTGCTTTGAATCATCGAGTTGGAACGGTGTTTCTGCAAGGTTTGAATGATGCATCCCACAGATAATTCTAATTTTATTGTTTTGATTTTTAGAGAATCCACTGGTCTGTACAGAGAAGATCCATATGCTGCAAGATGGCTTGGCCGTATTCGTTGCGGATAGCGAAGATGTGATTTGTGGTGGACGATCAACAACGGCCCCAACGTCATCTTCTGATTCAGTAACCTCACAAAACTAAACTACCTGTTAAAAACGCTAATGCCTTTTTATTATGCTGTATTTCAGATATCGACCCATCCTCCTAAACGTCTTAACATAAGACCATCTGGTGCGTTCCAACAGGGCAGTCTTCTTCTCCAAGAGCGACAACAACCACATGAAGTGATTCTCCATGCAGAAAACAACGAGTTTCCCATTTAAAGGCAAAGTCCGGGATTTCCCATTGAAGTTAGCCTTTCCTAGCAAAACAGTTCCAGTGGTAAAGCTGGTAGAGTGTATACACCAGTGCCAAAGCTCTAGGAGGCAGCACCGGCCTCATCCATCACCGTTGACCCTACCCGCTAATCAGTGCTAAAGCGCTCGCCGCCACTAAAAAGGGGCACTTCATTTTCGTTTTTGTGGACAATTTCTTCCACTTCTTTCAGTGATGTTATTTCACGTTTTCACTCCTCGTATAACAGAGTTTAATCCCGGACTTGGCTTTTAAAGAACAGTTGTCGCTAGGGTGTGGGTTAGGTGTTCCAGCAGAAATGTTTCGTCGGGCGTCCCCAAGAGGACCCATCGCGCGGCGAAGGAAGAGACGCAGGACGAGTTGCAGCGCGTGCTGTGCGATATGAGACGTAGTATGGTACACTCTATTTAAACCTGACGCCTAACCGCTACAGTATGCGCTGCGACTCGTCCTTTGCCGCGTCTGCGTCTCTTCCTTCGCGCGCGATGGGCCTCTTGGGGACCCTGTTTCGTCTGTTCCAGCAGCCTCGTGGCCACGCCTGAAATCAGGGCCAACCGTCCCTTGGACAAAGTCCAACGAGGGGTCGTATTCGCAAGGTCGGAGGCAGCGTCAATCCTACACCAACGGGGGTCGTAGTGTGACGCTTACGCTTTGTGAGTGCTAAGAAAAAATTTGCCGTTTCACTGTTGATATATATCTCCCCCCCCCCCGTGAAGTGAAGTGAAGTTGGGCTGTGTCAACTGGTCCTAGAATCAAATACTATAGTAACAGCTCTGATGGTAAGGGTGGTGGTCGTTATTGGTGGACCTCCTGAGTCTCATGGTGGTGGAGGGGGGTCGTGAAAAATTTCCAAAAAGTACCAACGGTAGGGTTGACCCTGGGGGGGGGTCGTATCGAGGCCCTCCAGAAGGGGGGTCGTAAAATTTTTGAAATTTGTCCAACGTGACGGTTGACCCTGCTTGAAATCCGCACTGGGATACCCACCCACACTCATAGTGCACGCAATGCTTCCAAAAAGTTTAGTTCAGGAAAAATCGATCTCGAGCCGTGTCGATGAGAATGTGCAGACCCCTTCGCCACTGATGAAAAACATAGCCAGGTAAAATAATGAAACACGGTATTGTCATGAAGGCAATAACAATCTTCAGAGTCGGCAGTGCGTTTGAGCCTGACACCCATATTCAACAGTTTGAGGAACTCACACAAGGTATTCCAAAGGACTTGGAAACTACACGGATTCCAATATTGCACTCTAAAGAGCACAACAAATCAATTAGTAGAATAAGGCACATTGGGCAATTGGTAAGATAAACTTCCGAGAAATTTCCCTCATATTACAACTCTTTTTGAGGAATCCAATACAAACGTGGAACGCTATGAATCATCAGAAGTGGAAACTACAGACGAGCCAGACACCTGTCCAACCGCTTCCGGTGCCATTTCTCGATGAAGCACAAACACAAAACCAGGTGGGTAATAGTTCAGCGTTACGGCATTGGAACTAATTGGCAATTATTGTAGGCCATACTAAGAGGATCATCCACAGAATCGTCATCTGCAATGACTAGGCAGTATACGCTACCTTCAACGGTGGTAATAATGCCAAAATCAGGGTTAGCATCTCAGCCGATTCATCTGCCAATACTTTAGCTCGCATGAATCACTAGTACAAGAAAATTACTATTACAGTAAAGCTGTTATTCCACAACAATTCTCGCCGCGCTCAAAATCGCCGTCCCAAAAAGAACAGGTGAGCAATACTTAGTGAATTTACTCTAGAAATCTCATACATAAGTTTGCCACAAGATAGGTCCGCTTGGCAAAGTAAGGGCTATCAGTGTAGCTCTGCATTGCTTGATTACTTGTTTACTTGTAGTTTCTTGTTTAACTCGGTTTTAACTTGGTTTTATTAGATATTTTGTACTCAAGAATAAAATAAAAACCGCTATTGAGCATCAAAAGGTGGGGCGGCAAACAAAAACGTACAAGTTCCTGCATAAGCAAAGCGCACTTATCTATAGGGATCTACACCATAGACAACCGTCCGTCGTGCCAAATTAAGCTAGGGGATCGCATTTGTGATTTTTCGATCGCGGGTATTTAGGAGCATAAAGGAATTCTATTCACGGTGGATTGCTCAGATGTGAGGCTTCTAATAAACTAGGAAAGGCACTAAACGCAATAAGGTCTTCAGAGCGCTCCACTACTTGAGCGAGGTGGTAAGGCTGCTGATCACAGGGGTGGTGGTACTGTAGCGACTTGAAAGTGCGCGACAAGGGGCTAATGTCTTGCTTGACCGCTGCAACCGCTGCCACTCTCATCAAACGCGGAAAACGTGACGTTTGCGCCCTCTCGCTCTCTTGACTTGCTCCTCACCTTCCAGCACTAGTCTCTCCATCGTACCATGGCCGTTTCACAAGCAAAATTTGAGTGTTCCCTATAATGTTTTCCTTTTTCTCCCCTCTAACCTTTCTCATCGTACTTCTTGTCTCACTTTCGAAAAAAATGATACAAAAATTCGATTCTGGCCCATGTCTTCAACTTCTAATCCCCACCGCTTGGGATTTCAAGTAGTCGCTTTTATCGCAACCCTGTTGCAGTCCCACCACCCACCTTTCGTCTCATATGACAATGGGAGTAGTGCACAAAGTCTCCACAAAGCAAAATTTCTCTTTCAAACCGTAGAATAAACAAGCGTAAGTGAAATTCATTCTACTAAAGTTCTACAAAGGCTTCATGATAGAATGCGCCATGCACTAGAGTACCATCTCGCCGAATTGTACATGCTCATCCAATAATAAGTATTAGGTTGTCGGAAAAGTTCCTTGCGCATTTTCTTGTTCATCTTGCAAAATCTTTTGGGATCGTTTTGAAACATTCACTGTTAAACGCATGTGAGCGGTGGTTAATGCTCTCTCCACAGCATTTCTGTCGTAGCATTTCGCAGCGTTTGAAGCTTAAAAATCGTCTTTCACTGAAGGTATGTTCGACTGCTCCTGCCTTTATAAGCCCACAAAGTGCGTCGATTGAAGCGAAGCAGTAGGAGGCCTACGTGTGTGATGGACCTCCAGACTATCTTTCACAGCGTGCCAATTATTTGGCTGCCGAAGTCAAGCTACTTGTTCTGAAGTTAAGAGGGTGCCCTTGTTGCAACGCACGATAACTGGCGGAGCTTTTTCAGTGCTATCAGAGCACAATGGCCGTTCCTCAATATCGCCTCGAAAAGAAGTGAAATTATGGCGAAAGGATATTTTGTGATCTGACTGACCACAGGCTATTGAGACCATAAAATTTTGCATGGACATTTTGATTTGCCGCCCGTCTCTCGCTTGATCCGCCAACTTTGTTGGAGGTAACAAGAAGTGGGATCCTCACATAAACCGCTCCACTCACTCGAAAGCACGACTGGCTTGGATGAGGATTATTCAAAAGACGATTGCTACGCCGATTCGAGACTGCAACTTGGGAGGCAACTTGAAAGCTCATGAGGCTGCAAATGTTTCGCTCACGGAGAGCTGCTGCCAACGAAGTCCACTGCTATTGGTGAACAATAATGTTAGCAAGTGGATTGGTTCCCGGCATGGTGCCCGGAAAATCTGAGAAACTTTACTTTATGTCGGCAACGCTCGCCCACGAATTACGAAGAAGGTTCAGGAAAAGTCTCCAAGCTCGTTATAGAATGATCTGACCCACTTAGTGTGTACAGCAAACCTGGTAGAGACGGGCTACCATACGCCTCTGTTGCCGTCGAAGGTACTGAAATAGGGGCAGTTCGATGATCCGGACCTACTCGGAGTCAACCTCTTGAGCTTTTCGCCCCAAAGACTCGGGATTTCTGAACGGCCGGCAACCTGAAGTTGCCTGCTGAAGAGCAATGTTTCGACGATTATGGTGGTGTATGTATTCAACAATTGTTGGCTGCACTAAAGAAGAAAAACAATTTTGAAAAAAGTTGCCAAATGCGCAAAGACTTTTCCGACAACCTAATACATGGGCAGCTTGTCACTTTGTAAGATGAAAGTGCACAACATTTACCGGATTGCGTCCTTACTCGTCTAGTAATTAAATGAGTTTATGGAGAGGTCCCATCCAAGTTCACACGCTGCGCAACTAAACGTGTAGTCCCTATCCTCATCATCGCCTTCCAAGGTCTTCCAACCCAAGTTTGAGAGCGGTCTTCAGCAATTATACATATGTATTGGTTTGACACCCTTTCATTTTGAAGGGATATTTGTGTACCATTTTGAGACAAATGTCCAAATCGAGAGTAGAGTCAAGAAGCATGCGGAGGAAAAGTACTGTTAACTGATGACAAAAGAATTGCGGCATCGCGCAACCAGAGTCAACCCTGCGTTGCGCAGTTCTCAACGGCCACGTTGCGCAGTTTCGCCCGATTAGACACGTTCTCTCGCGCGAACATTCACACTCGCATGCTCGAGCCGTCTGTGTCTCCGCCCATACAGCGTGCGTTGAGGATCTCTCAACGTGCCGTTGCGAACTGCGCAACGCAGGGTTGACTCTGCGCGCAACACGCGAGCTTCGCTTGAAAGCACTATATACGTAATTTTTGATTCCAAAAATTGAATTTGACCCTTGATTGGGTAGTAAGAGAAAGAAAAAGAGTGCAAGCTTCTACCATTTGCGCAAACTGATTCAGGAAAAGCTAGAGCAACTCTTATTCTTATAATCGTGCCAGGATCTTCACAATCATATTTTAGACTTCGTCGGAGAGCCTCTCTTATCCTATGCCTGAGCGAGGAACATCACCAACTTTCATTATTGTGCTGTGCATGACGGTGCTGGCAGTAGCAATGGTAGCTGTCGTTTTAGGATTATGTATCCTGCGGCATAGGTAAGTCGAATATTGTATATTTAATGTTTCACGCGGAACGATTGCAGTCGAATCAGAACTGATTCAAGAGAGGTTTCTATAAATATCTACAGGCGCTTTCTCACCATGCAGAGCGTGGTAGTATTACAAACAAGCTTTGCGCAACTAATCACCATGCTTGACCCTCTTAGCACCACCAGCTTTTCAATATGTGCCTAGGACGCAAGCGTCCGTGCGTTGCAAGTCTAAACCGTTGTCCTTGTCTTTCTGCGATTTGGCAGCCCGCTCAGGCCCTAAGCTTGAATCCGCTTTTTCGTTTTTCTCTTATACCCCAATCCCGAGTGAATTCACTTCTTCGGAATCAAACCTTGCGTACTATACTGCTTTCAAGCAGAAGCTCGCGTGTTGCGCGCAGAGTCAACCCTGCGTTGCGCAGTTCGCAACGGCACGTTGAGAGATCCTCAACGCACGCTGTATGGGCGGAGACACAGACGGCTCGAGCATGCGAGTGTGAATGTTCGCGCGAGAGAACGTGTCTAATCGGGCGAAACTGCGCAACGCAGGGTTGACTCTGGTTGCGCGCTCCGCAAGGGTTGACTCTGGTTG